CAAGGAGGACCATGCTCAGAGTGGATAAAATGGATTAACTCATGTGTTCCCCCTAAACAACCTAACTAGCATGTAACACCCGATTCTGTGTTACCCCCTCAGTACAGTTTGCGTGCCACTGTACCGGATGTGAGTTGGGCAAGGGCCTGGAGATTGAAAGAACACACAAGAAACCTGGGTCATTCGAAAGGAGACCAGCCAAATGCCATTTACTCAACTTTGGGGAAATCCTTATATACCTAGCGGCTGCACAAGGGTTTCCCCCCCAGGCAGGTGGGAAATGACCATACCAAAGATGAAACAATGCCCTACACCCAATCACCAGGCGGGGCAGAGGGAGCCCAGGAGCCAACAGAATGTTTTAGCTGGCTGACCAGAAACTGTCCTCATGATGCACCCCAGGAGCAGGGCAGATACAAGCCCTACACTAGCAGACAGGATTATTATACCTATTTTATAGACATGGAAACAGCCATGGTCCTGATAAATAGCTGAACCAAGCTCTAAACTCAGGCAGGATGACTCCAGGCACACACTGCATTATTAAACTATACCATGTGTCCTTGGATGAAGCCTACGAATTCATTCTCCTTGTGGAGGTCTTTAGGGACCTCAAACCAACCACCAAGCCACAGCACTACTCCCTGCCCGAGATCTGAACCAATAGAGAAATGCGAAAACTCTGCAGGAAACCAGCACATCCTCTCATTAGTACAAGGGGCAGTCCTAAGAGAGCCGAGCCTTCTGTGAACGCCAGAATGGCCTGGCCATTTGCCCTCCCTCCAGGCTCGACCCTGCCACAGCCATCTGCCCACTGAGCTGAATGAGAACAGAAAGCAAAGAGACCTCATCCAGAAAGAAGGGCCAAGGGTTTGCCTCCTTCCTCTGCATGGGATGGGAGAGTGGGAAGTGGGTTCGAAGGCCAGAGTGCTGGAGGAAAACCACTCACCATGGCCAAGAGAGTGGAAACAAGGTGATCCAGGGGACAGCAGCCCTGTGCCATTTAAACTGAATCTGTAAAGGTTCTCTCTGCCAGGCATCCAGGGCTGTGCATAAAGAATTCACCCCGGCCTTCTTTTCCAGGCCTTAAACAATCCTTTATACATACGTGTTAGGACCACACTTACCATTGTTCTGCAGGCAAACGAGGAGAAAGGCACACTTTCAATTCACGCTGAGGTGGGAAAGACACTGCCTGCCTCACCAAGGTGTAAACTGAAGGCTGAGGAGATCGCGCTGTTGTCTAGCAGGCACCAGGACCTGGGTTCAGTCTCCAGCACCACAAAATGAGATGTAAAAACATAAGGGTCAAATACAGCTCTCACGTGCAGGTCTGCCGACCCAAAGCAAGAGAGAGCTATTGGAGAGCCATCGGGTGGGCAACGGGAGCGATGGCTTTGATGAGAGAAGGCTTTATGCAACACACTCTCACAGTAGCCTATGGGGTGGATTCTGCCATCTCCGGTGCTTTCAGACTCTTACCCGCAGCCAAGAGTCAAAAGCCAAACACTGCCAAACACTGCCAAACACTGCCTTCTTGCTTCTCTGGCCCCTCCTCCCCACCTCAGTAGTCTTAATAAGTAGTAGTGTTAATAAGGATTCCATCTGACATCTGAGAGCAGGAAAAACTCCCAGATAAATAACCACTGTTTTGAGTAAATGCCCTCGAGCTGGACAACTCAAGGCTATTTCACTTGCTCTATGAAGCCCTTGGGGACCCAGGTCCTTACAGATCTTTTCTCTGTCATCGCTTAGACGCGGTCGTTAGCCTTGTTGTTCTGTTTGGCTGCCAGCACTCCAGCCACTGCGTCTGCATTCCAGAAAGCACCCTGTGGAAGAGAACATGCCTGCCTGGGAACTCCACGTAGCACTTCCATTTACCTTTAGACAGAACCTACTCTCACGGCTACTCTGCACGCATCTGCTGCCGACTGATGCAGAATGGCCACAAAACACACTGCCGGCTTTATCTATCTATTTATTTTGGACTCGTAATATTCAGAAGAGTTAACAATGTCCAACTATTCATGCCGTTGGCAACACTAAGCGTTGGGTCTTGCATAGCTGCAGGTTGGCTAGGGTTCAGCTCATCTACTGATGAGCCATTCTGACGCACCCTGCAGGAGGCGGGCTGACTCTGCTGCCAGCGCAGGTCTGTGATGTTAGCCCAGTTGCCCTTCCTCTTTGAAAGACATGGTACAGCCAGGATATCTTCTTCTCAAAGTCCAAAGAGGCACCAAGAAGAAAACCAGTGGGGCCTTAAAGGTCTAAGACACAGACAGTCACTGCCTCCTCTGTCCACAAGTCACTGAACAAAGCTCAGGTTCATATCCAAGGTCAAGGGCCAAGATACATAACCCGCCCATGATGAGGACATCACATGAGTGTGATCTATAGGAGGGAAAGAAAACCAGGGTGACAACACTCATGGCTAGAGTCAGACAGTCCTTACAAAGAAAAGACAGGCATCCTGGGGCACTTTTCAGCCACCTGGCCACCTCTCAGAGTAGAGCGGCTGTGTGAGGTAGCAGCCAGTGGCCTCTGCAGCCTCTATGATTCTCTCTTGCCTCAAGGCCCTGTGTAGATTAAGAATGTTCAGAAAGAGCCAGGGAGAGTGGCAGGAGCCAGCAAGCTGGCCATGACTCTGTTCACTGTTGAAAAGAAAAAACAGGGACAATCCTTTAAGATCAGTTGTTTAAAAATCTTGAGCCAACAGTGGTTAAGAGCACCACCTGCTCTTCCAGAGGTCCTGAGTTCAATTCCCACCAACCACATGATGGCTTACAGTCATCTGTAATGAGATCTGGTGCCCTCTTCTGGTCTGCAGGCAAGCATGTAGGCAGAATACTGTATACACAATAAATAAATAAATTTTTTTTAAAAAAAAAAATCTTGAGCCAAGAAAGAATAATCATCCCCAAGATGGCTCTTGTAGGAGCCACCAGTCCACTACCCCACAGATGTCGTACTCGGACTCTGAGGAGGAGCATCTGTGTACTATAAGTTCTAACTGGCGTTTCAACCTTAGTTCCACTTCCTATCAACATAAATGATACCTTCAAAGTCCATCCATCACCTGCGTGTGTGTGTGTGTGTGTGTGTGTGTGTGTGTGTGTGTGTGTGTGTGCAGGCACACAGGTGTGTACTCTGTGTGTGTGTGTACTGTGTGTGTGTGTGTGTGTGTGTTCTCACTGGCCTGAAGTTTGCCAAGTAGGCTAGGCTGGCTGACCAGTGAGTCTTCACCTCCGCAATGCTGGGGGGATTCTTTTTCATTTGGGTCCTGGGGAATCAAAGCAGATCTGCATGCTGGCATGGAAACCACTGTACTGACAGAGACATTCCCCAAGCCCCGTTACCTAGTCTTAAACTATTCTGTTGCACCCTCATACTATCATTGTGTTTGCTTCCATCTACCTGCGAGTTCATCCCAGCAGCCCACTGACCCTTACATCTTCCCCACGTGCCAACATCCCATTTCAAGAAGTCAAGACCAATCCTCTCCACCAGATGGAATGTCTTTGATCCTCACAGTCACAGGCCTTCCTCAGCTGTGTGGAACCTCACAATTACAAGCCTTCCCCAGGTGTGTGAATCTCACAATCACAGGCCTTCCCCAGGTGTGTGAATCTCACAATCACAGGCCTTCCCCAGGT